TATATATACATAAATAATCTTTATTTGCTATAGAAAAAGGCCATTGACCCAATCGGTCTAATTGTTTCATTATAATCGTTTTTTTTTTTAACTCTGCCAACATTCTCAAATAAATTAACGATTTGTTTAATGTTTTCCAGAATTTGTTTTGAACAATGTAAAACTGAATTTTCAGAATTATTAGAACCATCTCGTAAAAATAACTGCAGTGATTCATACGATAATAGAGAAAATTTGAACATGCTTTTTAATATCGATTCAGACAAGAAATTTTACTTTCCTCTCATAGATGTCACGGGACTACCCTACAACATGTAGTGTAAGTAAAATTGAAAAAATGGAATATACAGCGTGATTTACGTAGACCGTGCATTAGAAGTAAGTAGACTTTTAGAGCATTTGCAGCTGGTCATTTGCTTTCGTTTAGGAAATCAGATGGTTTCTAACGCTTTCTATAATTTGCCTTTTTTGTAATTAGCTTTCTCTAGCTCCTATATCGCATTTCTTTAGTTTTTTAATCAATGCTTGCCACATAAATTGACGTGTTTTGGAGTGAACGTGATTTTTTTTATTCAAAAATTACTTTAATAGGTTGTTTGTATTTTTGTTACCGCGTATAGATACAAATAATTTTAGTTTTTTTCGGCTACTAGCTGATTTTCTTCTGAAGCTTTCTTGCCTCTTGTAAAATTTTCTGTAAAACTAATTATGTACGAAACCTTGCAATTCAGATGTTTAATTCTTCAGAAAAGTATTAATTCTGAATAATTGAACTTAATAATTTTAGTAAATGTCCATGTCAATGTAAATGTAAAAGTGTTGACCGTTTTCCTGAAGACATAAAGTATTTCATTCTAAAATATTAAACTGTACTTTGGGCATCGTGTCGGGCTTCTTTTTAAAATAATTTGCAACTTGGAAATCAAATTTATTTCCAGTAACTCGGCTTCTGTAGCGACGGACAACACATATACTTTTGATTGAAAAGATCCCCACAGAAAAAATCTAGGGGCCGTAAATCTGATGATCTTGGTGGCCGACCTAATTATGGGTGCATCGTTGCCTCCTCCTCAAAACTATCGTTTTGTAAAATGTACGAAATAATTTGTTAAAGTTAAGCCAGGTATTGTTTTTAAGCAACAATACAGTAAATTTGCAAATAAGTTATCGTAAATAAATGTTGTCTGACCAAAATTTCACAAGAAGCAAAAAAGTTTCCCAAAAAAATAGACTTGTAGGAGAAAAAAAATTAAAGCATTTGTACAGACGATAACAAAAATACAAACAATTATGAACGAACCATGCGTCATTTTTAATATTTCCACGCATTAAAAAAAGGTCATGTTACGTCGAAACCAGTCAATTTATGTAGTAAACTTTGATTCCAAACCTAGTGAAAATGGTTTGGAAAAACCCTGTTTATACCAGTTATTCAAAAAATATTATTAGGACAAACAAAAACCCAATTGAACTTTCGTTACTGTGTTTCTCCAAAATTCTTGACTTTTGAATCTAATTTAACTTACGCTTATTTTTCATAACAGTTAATAAGCTTATTAACAACAGAAGGAACTTCAGACCACCAAACTCTTAAATGGGAACTAAAAAATGTTTACTTATTTTAACGAAATACGCGTTTCGTGGGCATTAAAAGCGTGTATTAATCAGTCATAAATCTAACTCCAAACAAATAAATTAAGGGATATATTTGGTACTACATCAAACTGAATTGCTAATAGTGGTATTAAGGTGTTATGAGTTTAATCACTGCTAATCATATATGTTTTCCAAACATAAGTGTTATATAACAATAGTGTTATCTAAACTGCCTTATGTATCATCCAAATCACCCTGATTGTGAGGCCAATAGTATTGTTTCACAGTTCAAATACTTATCACATCGGATAAATAAAAAAAGCATCTTAGCATGGAAAATACGTTAAATTTTCTATTTTTTATCGGACAATGCCTTCTCTTATTGCCTCTATACACTCGGTCCAAAAACTTGGAACGGCTTAAATGGTATTCAATAAAGTATTTTGCTGTGCTGATAACAACATTGTTTTCATTAATGGAGGTAATTTTGGTTTTTGCTTTTCTGGTGAATCAAGAAAATAAATTTCCATCCACCTGTAAGTAAAAATAGTTAAATTTACTTTTCAAGTATTAGTTTGTTCGAAATTTCAGCTTCATTAGTATTCTATTCAACAATTTTGGCTTACAAAGTTTTATTTATAAATATTGGAAAAGAATGGCCAATTTTAATGAATTCTTGGAGAGAAGTAAATATTATAATGGAAAGTTATGCCACTGTCAGCAATTACAAAAAGAAAATTAGAACTGTATTTATTTCCATATGCTTGCTGGGTTTGGGTAAGTAATTATTTTACCTGGATGATTTTGCATTATTTAAGTGAGTACATTATTATATTTTAAGAAGGTTTTCCTTAGTCAAATACAGGGTTATTGGCAGTGAGTGATTGAAATTCACAATTAACCGCCTGGAAAAAACGAATTGAGGACGACAAGATATCAAAATTAGTCTCTAAAAACGAACTGAAGGCCTTGTACATTCAAAAGCTCGAACATTGGTAGATGGAAAGCGTTTCTGTTTTCTTACCACTGCCCAAATCCATTTCTCCAGACTACTAATTCAAATGCTCTTGTATCGGTCAAGAAACTAACCAGTAACTTAAACTAACTTTTCGCAACACCAGTGGAAACAAAATACGATTATTTGCAAAAATCAGAGCGGCATTTGAACTCGTTCAAAACGAGGATCAAAATTTTCGTTCGACAACGTTTGAACAAGTATATTTAATTTTAAGGACGAAACTTTTAACAATTCTTATTAGCGTTATTTGGGACATGCTAATTTAAATAAATTCACTAAAACTCATAAACGTAATTTTTGCACATAACGGTCTGAAGCCCAATGGATTGGGATACATTTCCGCGCAAAAGTTCTTAACGCAAACCTCCTTTATTTCTGCACCTTTGTTTGATTTAGGAATCACCCTGTATTCTATTAATCCATAAATTCTAAAGTTATGAACATAACTTTAGCGAGTGTGATATAACGTTATCATCTATAATTCGCCATTCAATTTTAGGAGAACATCTGTTTTTTATACTCTCTATAGAAACCTACATTCGAACAATACAACTATGTTCCAGTGGATTGGAAACATACCTTTCACTAATTTTCAAATTTATTTTTTCCGTAATTACCTACAATTTATATTTGGCAATATTTGCCCAGGTATGTATTTTGACCAACAGTTCGAAAACTTCGATTCAAGTCGGTCATCCTCAATCAATTACAGATAATTAACTGGCTCTGGACAGTGATATGGAGCTATGTCGATATATTCTTAATATCGCTGTTTATTTGCTTTACCTATAGACTTGAACAAATCGAAAATAAGATTGAGTTAATGGTGAGCAACAAGGTATATTCAGTACAAAGTCGGAAAATTTGTCAGGTCAATGGTACGTTTACTTTTAAGGTTGAAGATATCAGTCGCTGGAAAGAAATACGTGAGCACTTTGTAAAGCTAACCGATCTGTGCTTTCAAATAGAACACTGTATTTCTCCACTTTTATTAATTTCGTTTGCCAACAAGTTGTATACTGTTATATATCAACTTCTTGGGATATTGAGGTAAAGTTTTTTTAGTAAAGTTTTATTATATCTAGTGAAACTAAATATATCAGAATACAGTCTTCACGGCTGGTCAAAGATGCGTTCAACAAATTTTTCGTTCTTTTCGTTTACATGTGCATTGAACTGACCGTAGGCAACGAGACCTCGTTGTCTTTTGTGTCTGTCTTGGATGACTACGGTTCTTCAACGGGTACGACTGCTGCTGGAAATAGAAAATCGCGTTTGCAGAGAGCTTTTGCCTTTCTATTTGAATCCAAATTTCAGGCAGTTTAAGAGAATTTTAATTCCAACAAGGCGAACGGGTTGATGATCATTCGGTTCTCGGCTCTCTTGTGTAAAAAATTACATGATATTGTGGGTAATGGTATGAATTTGATTCGACGGAATGCTCTGGAGTGACACGGGTTTAGTGGGCAGACTGACCTATAAAGGAATAACGTTTCTAAAGCTAGAAGAAGTTCGAAAAACTGCCAAATAGCCACCAACTCTCCAGTCATACGGAGCCCGCGAATCTTCCCGATGTGATGGTTAGCTTTACCGACAAAGTGTTTTCTGAGGAAATGAACGGCCAGACAAAGAAAAATAATTTGGAGATAGTGATTCGACAACTGTCTGTCGAAGACATCGTAGCCAATCTCGAGAGTGACACAATTATTGATTATGGCATGATATTTTATAGTTCTTCAACCACATCTAGTGACGCTTTTAAAGCTGAAGGAAGAATTTTACGTTGTGTGAAGCAGCTGGATTGTCCTGCAATGCTGTTGTTGATTTCCGGTTAGAGAATTGCGTTTACACCACTGATTTTTTAAGTTTTAATGCATGTATTAACGTTACAAGTGAAATAGATTAGTCTAGCTTATTTATTATATCTTATATTGTTAACAAATATTGAGATATTTAGTACTATTAAGTTTACTTTCATTATTATTACTATTTTATATACGTCTATTTGTAAACTCTTCTGCCGATCAGATAAGAGGGCAGATGCCGTAAACCTTTCAAATAGTTCTCCCAAAAATTTCGTCGGAGAAGCACTGGAACTCTGATCAAAGGCAAGAAAAAATCTGGCAGATCCAGCAGACATCGAAAACGCCACTACAGTTATTAGAACGGAACGATATCACGGCATGATAACTGCTGCCAAATTTAAAATCGGCCTTCCAAATTCTTATTCATCCGCACCAGTGAATCTAAATGGTCTAACAACGACAAAAACACCCAAACCGTCTCGTATACCAAATATTCATTAGCAAGAAGTCGAATAGAAGGCCAATTCAGATCCCTGTGATAAGCCGCACCTACGAGCACAAAAAAAGAAAGAAATTACTGTGTACTAAAACTGAAAGAACTAGAAGAATTACTAGAACTGAAAGCAGGCGTTCCAGTTCTGCTCTACCACACTATTTTTTTAAGCCCCACCACTCTCCTCCACGATCGCTCCACAGGCACAAGATTGTTTAAATAAAGCCATAAGAGCACTTCTAGAAACGTGTAGCAATAAATACAATAAAAACCAAGTAGCAATAAGAAAGGGTAAACCTTGATTGAAGATAAATTTGTTTCAATGAGTTTAAGAAAAAAAAGTAATTGGAGAGATATATGGATCACAACTTCGGTTACCACATCGCTGTCAATAATGTTCACCGCAAATGTGAACGAATCGTCAGGAAGCACTTATAATCAGTCACTAATAATCCGTGGGTAATGAGCCATGAAAACTTTTCAACGATATTTTGACCGGCCGTAAAACCGTAAAAAATAGTCTTTATTTACATGTATTATATATTTTTAGTTTATAAAATCTTTTCGCCTTGCCGTAAATGATTTATAGCATATTCATCATTTACCGTTCATCTCATTTTTACTTGCTGCAGAATCTAATAATTTCAGCGGAAGCACGTATGGTATTGAATATTCGACTGAACTAATAAATCGCTTCTATTACGGATTTTCATTTTTCTACATTTTATTGCGATTAGGCGGAGTGATTATGTTTGGATCGCAAATATACACGAAAAATCACGATATTGCAATGAAATTGTTTGAAGCTCCAGGCAAGATTTACAACATTGAGGTACTCTCTCAACTATTTGTCTCAATTGCCGCAACTTATATTACTATTTTTTGCAGATTGATAGATTTATCACTCACATAATCATTTGCCCTCCAGCTATAACAGGTGGAAAAATGTTTCAACTAAAAAAATGTCTTATTTTGAAGGTATGTAAACAATATTTTATGACTATTTCTGTTTCAATTTGATCTGAATCGAGGTAAAATAAGTAAGCGCCTAAGTATAAGAAGCAACATTTTCAGTATCAAACCGGCTCTCGTCCAACAGTGCCACTTAGTAGCAACAAATATTACTAACCATTGATTGATTAATTCTCGAATCAAAAATTGTTCAAAAACAACCCACTGAATGAGGGTTTACACCGTTCCAAATTCACATATTTCTAGCAAAGATACACCTATAATTTAACATGGAACAAACCTATTCACAAATGCAGGGCCCTGCAAACATTCCCTGATGATTAGAGACTTTAACCTTAACAAATAGAAAACAATTAAAGATTTTGATTAGGAACTCCGATTTTATAATACAACATTTGCCACCGACATTTTTAGTGCCCGAAAACTTCACAAATGGACAAAAACGTTGATCGAACTAACAAACTTGTATGTTAATGTTTCCGAATATTTATACCTTGGGGATAGGGTGAGAAGCTTGGAAACTTGACAGTCTTTTTTAAATAAATCTAACGAGGACCGTTTTTTTTTTAAGAACAAATAACTTGGTCAGTTGATTGTCCGATGACAAGCTGTGGTATTGTTAATCAACAAACTGAAAAACACTGGAACTCCACAAATCCCCACATGTTCCGACCTGTTGACTCAGAAGACCGATTTAGAATAAATATAAGTTGTTTTTTGCGTCAAAGTCAACTGATGAATCGCTGTTTTTAAGAAAATTTAAACGCAGATAGTTATCCGGACATACTTTAGACACCGTTGAATAGGGACACATAGACCTATAARGTGACCACTAAGATCGCCGGGTCTAAGACATCCAGATTTTTCMCCCAGATAAAATTTAAAWGAAGCCATTTTAAGCCAATAACAACTTGAAACAAKAATTYATTAAGCAGTTGCAGAAATAAAATCCTTAAGCATCATGAATATCTGTTATTTTAACCCTTAAWCCTTTATTTCGTTTCAAAGTTTCTATAGTTTTTGATATACTTTCTTGTGCCAGCTGTTTCTYCTACTCTTTGTCTTTCCAGSYAGAATATTAACGTAGTTTAGTTGCTACGAWATTAGYCTTTGCTGAGTGAACTACTGTAGTTTAAASTAATAAATTTTAAATAAATCGRCTAAGGAAAAAAATWATTCATGATCTCTTATATTATTGAAAAGAGAATTTAACATTACCATTAGCCATCTATTTGGATTAAATTGTACAGAGTGTTCCMTTAAAAAAACGGTTTGTGTCCGATAAAATTGTACTTGGAAGGTTATGTATCCGTATATTTATTCTAAAAACGGTAGGTCATTCAACAATMATTGTAAAGAAACTTTTACATKAKACTYTTTACTGTATCCCTTTTAKCCAAGAAAATATAGTCATTTTGAAATTAACATTTTTTTACCCTATGAARRCGCCGAAAATGGCACCGCTTATTTTGCACCCCAAATAGAAAACAATTTTTAATCAAAACCCTGCGTTCCATTGCAATAGAATAAAAGGAACCGTTTTGCTTGAAAGGTGCTCCATGTTTTGGCGTAATAATAATTGGTACTTAGACTCTTTCGTTGATTTAATTATGAAATATGATAAGTTTTAATTTTGTTAAATTTTACTAACGTATTGTTATATTTATTTCAGATGATATCTTCCATAATAATATATGAATTGGTTATTGTTAAATTTAATAAATACTGAAGCTTATGCATAATGCGCCAGTGAACAGAAAACCAAGCTGACGAAGCATACTTTTTCTAAGATTTTCTGTTCTTCACTTTTTTCTAACATTTATACTATTATAGGTCCAAACCCAAAAATTGTTGAAAACAAGTTTCAACTGGTCTTATTGGAGTATATTTCTTCCTAAGGGGTGATGCAAATCTTAAGATTTAAATGGTGACGCTTAAATTAGATTGGTTATGATTGATTATTATACTTTTTGAATGATTGCACGAAAACGATTGGTATTCTATAAATAATCTATAGCGCACTTTCACAGTTAAATTTCAAAGGCGGTCCTCAGATAACTCATACGAGAATAATAAAGGTTGAGGTGTGTATTTTGGTGCTAAAACCCAACAGAATGAAATTTACCACAGAAACCTGGAACCATCATGTCATTTAGAGAGTTGTAGAAAATCTCATGTGAAAAATGGTTTAAAACATGAATTTTTCATTCAACATTATGTAGACGTTAGCCCACAATAGATTACTTTGACACTTGTAAATATTGCTTTGTTCGTCCCTCTTTCCCTTACAGGACATCCCTCTTTCCCTAACAGCTTGTTTTCATGTGTCATGCACTTTCTTAAATGTCTTTTATGTGTATAATAATACAGTTGTCATTCTCTAGATAACATAAAACGCTGTTTTTAAAGCTGAAGTACTTAAATTTCTGCCAACGTACATAATGAAAATATCGAACAGTGAGCAAACAAAAATATCAGTCATATATTAATATATTATGATGGTGGCATAGAGGTATATTTTATTATAGAAGTGTTGGGTGCTTTGTGCACATCGAGCACTAATACAACCGAAATTAAACAAGCATTAATTAAAAATAAACAGTAATTATTTTACCGCGCGAACCGCAAGCATTTGTTTGAGAGCGAATATTGATAAACCGCTTAATCATTTTCATCGCACAACTCCGGGGGCAAACCTTTGCCTAACTATTTAGGCAACAAGTTACATAAAATTAAATAATTTTATTTTGAAAAGATCCTGATTTGGTGAGTTTGCCACTTCAAGTCGAATATGAATTTATTTTCAGTAAAAACAAACTTATTCTCTAGCTTCAGTTTAAGGTTGCGACTCAAATAACTATTAATGCACATTAATATAAATGATGAAATGGTTTCCACTAATCCAGAAATGACAATATCGAAGTGCCTAAAGAAGTTATTACTACTAGGCCAAATTTTCGGCTTTTTTCCCGTTCAGGATATCAATAAACCTACTCAAAAATTTGCTTGTAAGTCCTTTCGAATGCTGTACTCAGTGTTTTCGATGTGTGGCTCCTTATTTCTCTGCATAATGCAGCTAAACAAAGCGGTGAAACAGAGCATTGGCATTGATCAGATAGATTACATAGCAAAGTATGTTTCGTCAGCTTATGTAGCTATCGTCTTTATTGGCTTAGCCAGACAGTGGCCCCATTTGATGGCCGAATGGACAAGAGTTGAGCAAAAAATGCATAAATATGGATTTCCCAAGAAGTTGAACAAACAAGTAACTATAATAATATCGTTTTTTATGACTGCATTTTTAGGTAAGTAACATTGTACAACTGATCTCACGTGAACAGTTATTAAATTAATAAAGTAATGTTATAGTGGAGTATGTATTACACCAAGCCAGTAGAATTGATAGAGTAATGGAGTGTCAAAGTGATAAGGACAGAGCAATACAATTTTTCTTTGGAAACTTGACTTTGTCTCATGTATTTCAATACATACCATATAATATTCCAACAAGCTTGATATTTCAAGTAAGCATTTATTTGTATGTTCCGTAACGACAATAAGATTTAAATCTTGTAGTACTGGGTTTATCAAATGGAATTTGGCTTCACTTATACAGATATATTCGTTACGGTTATAAGTATGTGCTTGGCTGAAAGAATGCGACAAGTGACCAAAAGAGTTAAATTAGCATGTGCCAAAGAGGTAAGTCTTTATCAAAGTTTGATAAATGAATTAAAATTTGCACCATGGTTAAGGAGGTGTTGTCTGGGGGTAATTAGGAAGTACAGAGAAATTAGCGAAAGCAGGCGGTTCTCACTAAAAGCGCAGATATTAGCAAGAAACTAAAAAAACAGCAAATAAAGATTTTGTCACTAAGATTAAATAGATAGTGTTTTTGTATAAATCAACAAAAATTATAGGTGAAACCAACAGGTAAATCGAAAAATGAAGGTAATTTTACGGATAGAAGTCTCTCTTACTCGAATCATTCCTGTCCAAAGTATTAAATACACATCTACCTGTATTTCAATGTAGACAATCATTACATGAGTCGAACATCCATAATTTATTAAAAAAGTGAACGTAATATCTTAACACTATTTCACTTAAAGGTTTTATTGAAAAATGTACCAATTTTATACAATGGTAGATACGCAGTTCATCTTCAGCTCTTAGGTACTTGACGAAAATAGGAAGTGCAATTTCCATAAAAAAAAACCACTTCAATTCAGTCAACATTCACTTTTATGTAGAATTTATTTGTTTTTTAGTAATCAATGCGTCCATATTGTATGTTCGACAATAGAAAATAGAATTGTAGCATTTTTCTTCAAGTAAACTTGTAAAAAAATTATGTAATTTAGAATCACCCAGTATCTCTTTAATTTCATGATAAAAAGAGTCCCTAATCTATTTACGTTATTACGTATATACATACCGAGTGATTACCAATAAGTGTCCGATTTTTTACATGACGAATCATCAGGTATTTTTAAGACAAAAAGGCCATATGGGAATGGATCCTTGAATGGAAGGCCTTGCTGATCACGCTGCATAATGTTGAAAGACTTTTGTGTTTTTTTAAATAACTTTTGAAATAAAATCGACATTTCGATTGGTATTTGGAACTTTTGTAACATGCGAAACTTAATATTATTTCGAAAGTTTAGTATTAGATTTGATCTTACATGTAGACGCCTCGGCATACATGTTTTTTTCTCTGTTGAAAGGTCTTTATTTTTCAACAACAAACACAATTCCGCCATAAATCAAATCAATTTAATAGATTTGATCTTACATGTAGACGCCCCGGCATATATGTTTTTTTCTCTGTTGAAAGGTCTTTATTTTTCAACAACAAAATCAATTCCTCCATAAAGTTTGGGTTAAAATTGTCAAAAGTGGCAGCAAACAAGAGTTTTCGAAATATTTTTCCTTCAATTTCCGTTATATTGTGACTATGATTACCAACAACGCCAATAGGGTTTGGGAATCTTCAATTATTACAGACAACAGTGTGCTGCTGTGTATATAAAGGCAAGGATTTATGGCTGAACAACCCACAGATCAATCTGAGGAATATAGAAAAAATTACTTCAAACCTTATTTTAAAAGTCATACTGCAGATTAATTTAAGGTGTTCAGATAAAATCGAGAATATGCATTTACTGTTGTAGATTGCCGACGAACAAATTTGGAAAGAGATCCGTAAAGACTACACCAGGCTGCAAAGTTTAATTGAATTAGTTAACGACAAAATATCGAACATAATTTTGATTTCTTTTCTTCCAAACATTTTCACCATACTGACTCAAGTCTACAGCACACTAAAGCCGAAGCACAACAATACAGAAGCGGTGTATTTTTATTTTTCACTGATATTCTTGGTGTCTAGAACGGTGACTGTGTGCATATGTGGAGCGAAAGTGAATGAGGAGAGCAGAAGACCTTTAAATATTTTGAATTCTGTACCGCACACTATTTATAATGATGAGGTATAATACAATTACGACGATTTACATAATTTGCATTGTGAATTTTGCAGATTGAGATATTTATTAGTCAGATATCCAACTTTGAAATTGCTATGAATGGAAAACACTTTTTTAACATAAAGAAGAATGTCATTTTAGAGGTAAGGTGATTAAATGGAAAAATATTTTTACAGTGCGGTTTCTTCAATCAATTGAATGATTGAATCAATGCAGTTCATAAAAATGTTACTAAATATTGACTAAGTATTTTTATTGACTGGGCGAATTTTAGCAATAGTTAGAGCAAACTTATTTTACAACCTAGTTGTTTAATCGTTCGATAACGTGTGTGGTCTTCATACAAGGTGGATCAAAATATGAGTTACTCCTCTAAAACGGTAATTTGGAGGTATTTGGCGTAGATATGAACAGATGTTTTAAATCGTTTTACATTAGTACTGCAAAAGTGCGCTTATTGGAAGAAGCTATGTAGAAAGAAAAACTTCCTCAATTTCAGTTTTAATTTTTGTCTATTGATATTTTTTATGTTAGTTCTAAGGTGTCTGAAGAAATTTTAAAAAGCTGATCCAACGATTGAGACGTAGCCCTTTTTCAATGATAATTTGGTACGGAGAAACTTTTAAGTTATTTTTTATGGCTTGTTGTTGACTCTATCAAGCTCAAAACAATGTTAATCCTTGCTTATGAGTGCGGTTTGCAATCGGCAGATCAGTTCCGGCAGCTTGCCGTTTCTTCGACACACAAACACAAAAACAAAAAATGTATACGCACGTATATATATTATGTTGTAGACTGATTTATTTCAATAAGGAAGATAAACATTCCAGGAAATCCGGGGTTACCTATTTTTACTTAATTTAGATCATTTTATGTTACTAGTTCAAGACAGTGCAGGTTTCCCAAATACATAAAAAACTCATTTTTAATCTTTTGTTGATGCTTCTGTTTCACACCTTTATACTCATATCAATTTCCAAGTTTCCTCTATCAAATATTTCCTATTTTTGTAATTAATTAGTTTTTTTTTCAGTTAGCAGGAGCTATAGTAACTTATGAACTGGTGTTAATTCAGTTCAATCAAGAAAGCTTAAACTCTTGGTCAAGATCTACCAGATGTGAATAATATACAGTTTTACACTGCAACTACTTGATTATTGTGTTACAATGAAAGAGTATATTTCACAAATTGAATAAAAATATCATGATTCAGTGTGAACAATACCAATCAAAATTTATCGTTTTCTCATCTAATAGATGTACGGTTATCAAAAGAGTCAAGGAGTGCCTAGTTAGGAACAGATTGAAAAGCTATAACGTTTACAAATGATTTTCCCCAATTTTGGTATATTAATGTTTCAATGTCCTACAATTATTCTTCTCTTCTGTTAGTGGCCATGAGATGCTTATACACGGAAGCATCTTACTTTAAAAATATATTCAATATAATATTTTGTTTTGTAAAATTGTATTCGTTTCCATTGAATAAAGCCTTAATGCATTTCATTAATWGTTTAACTGCTAAATTGTATTTTGTAYTTTAGGTTCCCTTAGTTACATATTTYGTTGTATGTGTATAGTTACAGTGTAGTGCTATGATYTATAAACGACTATTGTAATAAAGTTTAAATAGTTGATCAGACTTTCTCTTAATTGGAAACATCTTTATTTGCATCTGCAGCCTTATATTTGCTYCWWTTCTCTAATATCCTTAATTTAATCTATCTATCTATTATTTAATCTGTAATATCATTAATTTGTTTTCATCATTTTTCGACATCATGGTRGGTAACAAAATGCCGCATTTTATACGTGGTAAAGTTAAAAAAAATGTTGTCGCTTCCTGCAGTCATTAATTCTTTGAATATTGTGTTATTTCAGTCTGTCTAGTTCTTAGTCATAACGCTTGCTTAATTGATCCAAAGTAAATGTGATAATATTATAATATAATCAACTGAGTACAATCTCGAAATCTAAAAAAAATTACTTCTGTCAGCTTTTTTTTTCGTTTTCGTCTCGCGATCGTTCTGATAAAAATATAGAGAACAATAGGGTTTAACTATAGTCGGTCGGTAACAAAAAATTATAGGTTGTCTCTGACTATTACAGAATAATTAAGGAACAAAAATTCCCTGGCTTTGTGTTTTTAAATACATAAACATATCAAACGGAAGACTGACAGACATTGATGAAAAATTTGTATTATTTTACTAAAAACATATAAATTTTCCAAAAGGGCAGAAATTAGATACTAGGACACATTAATAATCTCCACCATGTTTATAAGTAAGGTAAGAATGCATAGAATATTTTCACATCATTGGCCTGACTGTAATTGAAATTTAACAAAATCATTTTCTATTGTAAAGTTTATAGATTCAACAATTTTAAAAGAGCATCTATGCGCATTCATGTATAGATTTAACAAACCAAAGAAACATTTCCGATATAAATGCCACTCAAATTCATTCCAAAAATGTATGGCATGGCCTCTGATAATTTTGGAAGTGTTTTGGATTTTTCCTTTGAGTGGCATTATGGAAAAGTCACATCAGTTTTTGAAAGTAGAGACGGTCTCATGGAAGATGGTCTATGCGATATTATGTGCCATTCTGCAATGTATCTATTTGCCGATATTTTCTTCAATTATAATCCAAGATATTTCAGACAGATCAATGCAAATACGTAAGTGTAGTTTGCTTTATTTATTAAGTCTAATTATTATTTGTAAATACTTTATAAATAAATGGTGTCTAATCTAATATACAGAGTGATTCAAAAATACTCTCACAAACTTTGTTAGTTGATTGCTCGCCTTGTTTTAATATGAACAGTTTTAATAAATCTGGATTGTGAACTGCTTTCTTACAAAATTGAGGGTGCTGAAGTTTTATTTACAATTTTTATAATTTATTAATATATTCAAAATCGCTTGAAACATTTTTACGAATATTATCAACGACCCATCTAGCCATCGAGCGACCATGCTTCCCTTGAATGAAACACTGTTTGGGAACATCAGTGGCGCGAGTACCAATGTAACATTCAATATTTAAAAAATTGATACGTAAATTAATTAAGAGAAAAATAATGTTACCTTTCCATTGCTTGTGCAAGTCCAAAAAAAGAGCTTTTTTAATTTCATTCGTACAACGCATGATTTTTCAGATGTTTTTAAATTGTATTACTGGACGTTAGCAGAATAACCAGAACTCCAAATAGAAGAAGTTGGTCTAAATGTTTCAGTAGGAAATCCGATAATGTCTACTGACGGAATTGCTAATATCAATACCAACCAAACCACTATTTGCAGAATTTTGTACGACTGTGAACTGCATGTGCGCCACGTTCAAAGAGTGCAAGCTTTTCTCAAGAGACTTTCCTCCGTGCATTAATTTTTGTCCCTGTTTCTTACCAAAATTAGCTAAAATTTCTTTAATTTCAAATTGTGCACTTTTTGCGGGAGATGCAAAATTTTCATAGAATATTGTTACAAATGTACGCAACGCTAAAGGGTTTTTTTGGTGCCAACGCCTTTCTGGTGTCAAAGTATAATATTAATCTTTATAAATAAATATCGCACCTAAATTGTTGTATTCAATAGAAACATGGCCACTCCATAACTATTAATATCTGATAAATTTTATTGAAATACCTCAAGCGTCTCCGAAATATTTAAGACTTTTAATAAAACTTTAGCACCCTGTATTTTCGCTCCGATACCCCTTTTTAAACGTTTTATCTTAAAACAGAGCCAGCAATCACCTCCTGGATTTTATCAAAGTGCTTTAGAATCGCCCTGTATGTATATACTGTATTGCACATTAATTGTTTCTAAATTACTGTTCGAACTATTTTCATTTAGGTTCATTTTATGTTGAAATAGTAGCCATTTTACAAACATTCAACTTTATGCATCTCACCCACTCTTGGAAACAGATAGTTTATGAATGGGAAGTTCTGGAAAAATCAATGATGCATTATAAAGGGCCCTACGTAAACCTGGAGAAGACCATGAAAATTATTATGGGTGTTTTGCTTCTCTTTCTGATAGGTAATATAAAACTTATGGATTTAAATAATTTTTCCACAACAGTTAAGAACTGTGAATCTTTTAAGGAACAACGAGAAACTTAGGATCAGGGTTCATTTTTTCCATCTGCGTTCCGAAGCTGGCAATTTCATTAAGTTAACAGAAATTAATTTTTCAAACTACAAATCTGAACTCATAGTTGGAACAAGCGGTTGAATCTATCGGATTCTTAAGTCTGTGGTGCCTTTTTTTGCACTTCACCCTTCTGTGATTTTCTTTCAATCATGAGTTTCACCTCCTCAACTTTTCTCTTCTTGTGCTTGGCAAATATTCTCACTCTTTCCTACTGCGTAATAGTACTGTTATATTTGACATCTAAGCTTCTGAATCTTGTAATATGTGTTTTGCTCATCGTCTAATTCTTCGTTTCACACTAGACTAATGTTAATTCTTAACACGTAATATGCCCAATTTTCAAGTCCGTATTTGAAAGCCACCTTTTTCTAAATGTACTTATTCTGTACTCTACGTACATCCGTATTTATATGGGACTCTCGTTATTTACATTAGAGATATAAGGAACACACATTGCAGCGATGGCACTAATAGTGCCGCCGTTTTATTGACATCTGCACAGGCGCATAAGAGTTTTCGTAAGGCGTGCCACTAACAAGGTTTGTGATTTCGGTTATTTGCGCACTCTTTGCGATGGTCTTATTTTGATTATTATTTTATGATGGTAGATTCCTTCGGTAGATTCAGGAACACCGTTTGATTCTTACAATCAATCTATAGTGTGTAGGGCACATAAGCTTTAAAGCACATTTACCCTCTTGTTGATAGAGTAATGCCTTCAAGTAATAGTAAAGTGGGATTTTGCAAAAGTAGCAAATAATTTGTTTACGTTTAAATTGTGAATTGTGAAAGTTATGCATGTTGAAAATACCACATCACTTGCAGCAACATTTTTCTATCCAAAGAATGTGTTAAAAAAGTTGGATTTTGACGTTAATACTGCGAGGAATAATGCTGTAATGATAAAGCATTATAATATAATGGAAAAATTATGCCTATTTTCTGTTAACTGTTAAAGATAATATTTACTGTTTAAGAGATAGGTTATTATACTATTTGAGATTGCAGAGGAATGGGGCTTCTTTTTGTGTATATCGGAGTCAATATAGCTATGAATCCGTTGCAACAGTCGGAAGCAAAATATAGATAATATAATTGGAGTTATAAATAATGTGCATTAAAATAAAGCTTTTTAAATCTGAAGCATTCATTGAAACATTGTTGATGAGTTTGTAACTGCGACCATTGCCAAATCTAATAATACCTAGACACATTCATATTGTCGAACTTCAAATCGTCAAGTTTAGTTGCAGATATAGTTCTTTTAAACTGATCTTGAATTGGTAGTGGACTTATAGACATTATTCCCTCAGGTGGAATATTATTCATATAAATTCTAGCAACACACTTTTCTTATTTTAGTCTTAAACGTATTTACATTTTTAGGGGAATGTGTAGTATTGACAAAATTGTACGAACTGTATACACCTTATGGTCAGCAATCTTTTCCAGCAACTATTACCAGTACAGTTTATTACGTAAGTTTAGAGCCTGTTAAGCTATTAGAATGTAACCGACATTAAAAAGAAAAGAAATAATTGTTTTATATAAAAATATTAAGCTACAAATATAAGCTATAAAAACGCGATTTCATAAAATATCACCTTTTTAAATGATTTGCCTCGTTTACTGTTATTGTTGATTATTCGGGATAAGAAAACCTTTAATTTTAGCTGCGCCATATGCTGTGTAGGTTACGTTGCAGTCGTCCTGACAAACAATTGCTTTGATAATAAAGTTTTCGTCTACTGAATAAAACACAATGACAATAAACCATAAAAATGTATCATTTAAAAAAAGTTGTATTTTGGAGTTTAAAAATCCTTTAGTTTAGACCAATAGTATAACCGATCCGTAGTTTCAAAGACAAATATTTTGCAACTGAAATATTAACTTAGTGCTAGTCCTTTCTCTTGCCAAATTTCAAAATTCTGCATCTTACGACAACGGCGAAATTTTGAATTTATCAACAGTACAAAAATGCGAGTTTTCATTGTTACAGCCGAATACGTAAAAGACTGTTCGATTTTCGGTTAAATTTATATAAAAGAAAGTTATTAAAATTTACTTAATAATTTAAATATTAAACAAAATATATGGTGTTCTATTAGAAAAAAGTTGTTTTCTGCCGTGCAACTCTTCTGACGCACTCTATAACCGTATAACTGTAAACATTCTTAAATTATGCGCGTTTAGTACTTTTACAAAAAGCCGATAATAATTTTGAAGCATATTACCGGTGAAGCGCAACCTTACTTTACTCTATCGTTGGAACACCCTGTATATCTTATTTAAAAAATAAAAGGTTTATTCATCATGTTTACGCAAATTAGTCATTTCAGATTGGTCTCGCACAACGAGAATTTATTTGGGTGTTCAAAGATATTTTGATAATAATTGTTAGCATTTGCTTTACGTTCCGACTCCGACAATTGAAAGAACGAGTGTTTTTTATAATCCAAATGCGAGTAAGTATCTTCATTTAGTAGTACTTTGAACTAAAAAGCATGCTTTATAATTTCAGATAAATAATGTTGAGGTTTGGCGTGCTACACGTGAAGACTACGCCAAGCTCTTAAGTCTATGCGAAACAATTAACAACAAGTTTTGTTGGCTGATAGTAATATCCTATTTTCAGAATATCCAATATCTGCTGTTGGGCATATTTTCCGCGGTAGTGCATCATGACAATTGCCCTACAAGTAAACAGTTTACAAAGGAAATCCAGCTTTACGGGATATCCTCAATGATAATCCGGTTAATCCTAGTAAGTTTTATTGGGGGCTCCATAAACAGTGAGAACGAAAACCTTATAGACCTGTTAACTTCCGTTCCTTCAAACATGTATAATAAAGAGGTGACCAGTTAAGTTGGTTTGAATAGTACGATGTGACGATAAATTCAATATTTAGGTTGAGCGATTTCTAAATCATGTGGCTTCTAGGGAAATGATTTTAACAGGAGGTAACTACTTTAAGATCACTCGCAGCCTTATATTGCAGGTAAGAATTCATTAAAGGTAATAATTATGCTTTTAGCATGTTGTGTTTTTTTTTTGTAAAAAAATATACTTTTCTTTTCAGCTAAGACAGATTTTACTAACGAAATATTTTTTTCAAGTATCACCACCATTTACATACACTGTTACGTTATCTGCAATTATTTTAGATAGCCAATGCCCTGGTGACCTATGAATTGGTGAGTATCCAATTTGTCCAAAATTTCAAGCACATTGAGTAGTATGTACCTGCTTCTCTGTGGATGCAGCCGACTTACAATTTATGAGCAAATGGTTTAATAAATAAGAGAACAAATACATTGATTGCTTCAAAGTTGTGACTCTAGACAGATAAAGTCTACAGCTCTTTGGAGATCAGCTTCTGCACTTTTGACTTTTTGTAGAAAAAAACATATTTCTAGATCATATGTGATGAATAAACTCGTGAAAAAATGTACTCGTTACTGTTACATATTTAACATTGGTGTAGTTCTTCTATCTGAAGAAAGAAGAAACAAATTTTGTTGGCGTGGACTAGATGTCTTTAAAATATACTGTTTTTCCTTAGAAACTAAGAAAGCCAAAACGCTTTTGATGTCGGTGGAAATAAATTAATTCTGAGTTCGAGTACTTCTTCACGTAGTAGAAACATTAAAGGCTTCTGCCACTTCTGCTAAACGTTGCAAATCAATTTCAGTACATAATGTGTTGATAAAGTGGTTATCTTAAAAACACTCAATTGCTAAATGCCAGAATGCCACCCTTCATAAAAAAAATCGTTTTTTTCTGATTGAACTACGGAAAACAAGTATGGACTGAATTTTCGTTTGCATAATATTCTATGGATGTTGCGCATGTTATGTAAAGGTTTCCTCCTTTAACTGAATAACTGTTTCATTATTGAATTATTTTGCTACCTTATTATTTTAAGTTTTATTTGCTGTTTATAATGTTAGTCGTTAATTGAAATATTTTGAATCTAATTTCGTTTAGTTAAAGAAATTATTCAATTTAAAAAATAGATTCGTTTACAATAGTTTTATTACTATACTAGTGTTATAGCGAATTTAATTCAGCATTTGCTTCCAACATAACAACTAGGCCTGGGTACCTCAGAGAATTTTTAGGAGTTGGCGCAGTGCTACGCCGGTGCCAACACACCGGCGCAGTAACTCAGTTCTGATGATGGAAAAATGGTAATGACTTTTTTTACTTGTTTTTTAAATAATGTAAATTTCGTCACCTCCATATCCCTGAAGACTGCAGAGTTTGTTAAAAAATTGTGGTTTTATAGTTTTGACTGATTTTTTCCCTTTTCTTTGCTACTCAAAATCGCTATATTTTGTAGAGTTTCACTTAAAACTACTGACGATCTCGAGGTCTTTTACGCAAAAAATTACAAGATAACTTTATAGATTTCAAAAAATTTTCCGAAAACTACCAGCGTCGAATTCGGGTCAGAAACGAAAATAAATTTCTGCCGTTTTTTCCCCGAAAACCATCCAACCAGGGTTTTCTCCAAAACCGATCACAAAACTAAAAGTTCCTAATCGAATAAATTAATTTTGCTGGAAAATTCGCCTCATTCATCGGTTTCCAGAGAACTTTAGAAAACCCATTTCAGCTTCGAATTTGCAGCAAAACCAAAATAATTTTATTCAGTTTTTTACCGAAAGTAATTAAGATTATCTTGAAAAATCGACCATACAGCAAAAGTTAACAAAAAATTATTTAGAAAATTCGCTGCCCTTATCGCTCTCAAGATTTTTAAAGTTCCTTTAAATTTTCAGGATGTTCCAGTTTTAACAAAGTTCCCATTAAGCAATTCTTTGTACGAAAAAATCGCATTATTTTTTAGTTTTACTTAAAATACTGACAATTTTCAGGTATTTTCTGTGAAAAATTATTAAAATAAATGTTATTGGAACACTCGCCTCCTTAACCGCTTTGCGAAGATGATTCGAAAACTTTTTGCAGCTTCGAATTATGGACAAAACCCTAATCATTATTTCTAGGATTTTCCAAAAATATTTCCACGAACTGAAAGCAAGAGTTCATAATCGTTTATTTGGAAAGCTTTTGGAAACTGGCGTTTCTTCACTTTTAGGTCAATATTTTTAAACAAGACTGTCTCTAAACAGAAAAACCGCATTTTCCTTAACGTTTTACTGTAAACTGCTGGCAAACTGAATCTTCTATGCAAAAAATTTAAGAGATCAACTTTACAAGAAAACTCGTCGACTTTCTGTGGACTTAGTTCTGTTGCTGGGAAAATCTAGATTACTTTTTTTTAGTTCTTTAAACAAAGTAGTAAAACGTCACTTAGAAAAAATGTTGATGACTTTTTTGCTAGATCTGAAAATTCCAGTCTTGGGTCTCGTAAAGCTTTAATAAATCACTTATAACTCGTGAACCGATGAGTTATAACTCGTTAACTCAGTGCGGCATCCACACAGTGCTACCCAGGCCTAATAATAACGTTTTAAAAAAATTTTACAGTTGAGAAATAAATTTTTGTAACATTTATTTCTTAATTTTACGAAAGTAGATAAAATCTCGTATAATGTTTGTATTGTAAATATATATTGGGACACTCAAGGTATTGTCAAACTCTGTTAGCTACTTGTTTCACAAAAACATGTCGTTATGAGTGTTTACTAAAAATAAATCTTTGCAACGCTTGTATCTTAAATAAAAATAACGAAGAAGAAAACGAAATATTTTGTAAAGCATATATTATATTCAACTCTTACAATTAAAAGTATAAATATCTGTCCATCAACAAAAATTTTTCGCCGGCGATTTTTTTTTGCTGAAACTGCTTAATTTAAAATGTGACAAAAAAATCGTCCGGACTCAAACGACAAGTTAATAGTTTGGTCCATCCTGTATATCAAGAAAAGAAGGAGAAAACGTTTCGTTTCGTCGCGTCTATAGTGTATGTATTCTTTGGTTAAAGTTGCGCACGTTGAAAAGCGCCATCTAGTATTGCTAAGAGCTAACTAATCAAACTTTTCTTAATAACATAACCTATGTAAAAAATTTAAAAATATTTTTTGGTTTTGCACGAACTATGACTACAATAAAGTCTCCATTATCGTTTGCTATATTAGGAAAATGTGGCTCTTCTAAAGCTCGAGTCGGAAAGATCACATTACCACATGGACCGGTTGATACACCTGTGTTTATGCCAGTTGGCACTCAAGTAGGGAATCTCATGTGCTTGAAAACGCAGTTTTTTTACCATTTTAATCTTATCTACACGTAGGGTACACTAAAAGGGATGCTACCCGAGCAACTTAAAGCTATGGGAGTTCAAATTCTGTTAGCCAACACATATCACTTAGGGACCAGACCGGTAAGCACCCGTAACGGAGTTGCGTCATAATCTACCATAATTGCATTTTAAGGGTGTAGATATTTTGCTTAAAGCCGGTGGACTGCATAAGTTTATGAACTGGGATGGAAACCTTCTCACTGATTCAGGGGGGTTTCAAATGGTCTCCCTTTTGAAATTGGCAGAGATAACAGAACAAGGGGTTAAATTCGAATCCCTAAATGAGCAAAAAGATCAAGTGATGTTATCACCTGAACATTCCATTGAAATCCAAAATGCCATTGGGGCAGACATTATTATGCAGTTAGACGATGTAGTGAAAACAACAGTACCCGACAAAGAAAGAATAGAAGAGTCAGTTCACAGGTAAATCAGCATTAATCGCTTATGTCATAGTCTTTGCTTCGAAACTTTTTGCTTAGAACTACACGATGGTTAGATAGGTGTATTAAAGTACATCAAAATCCCTCTACACAAAATATATTTCCCATAGTACAAGGAACACTCTACCAGGATTTGCGCAAGATAAGCATTGCGGATCACATTAAAAGGGATGTGAATGGATTCGCAATAGGAGGGCTAAGGTAGGATTTGCTGAGAATTACGGAGCTCTAACAAAACTTTAACTATTTTTTCAGTGGTGGTGAAAGCAAGGATGACTTTTGGAAAATTGTCCACTTATGTACTGACCTATTGCCTAAAAACAAGCCCATTTACTTAATGGGGGTCGGATTTGCTACAGACCTTGTTGTGTGTTCCGCCTTGGGTGTCGATATGTTCGATTGCGTTTTTCCAACAAGGACTGCTGTAAGTGCATTTTGTCAGAAGCGATTTTGCTTACATTAAAAATAATTCGGTTTAGCGGTTTGGCTGTGCTCTCACAATGGTTGGCCAAATCAATTTGAAGAAGAAACAGTATGCCACGGATCTGCAGCCAATCGATAAAGATTGTGATTGCAGTACTTGTAAAAATTACACAAGAGCATACTTGCATGGTATTGTGACTGACCTGCCTGTGGCTTGCCATTTGATTACCGTCCATAATGTAGTTTTTCAATTGAGGTAAGGTCAAGATTAAATCATTTAAAGCGAACTTTATTGGAACCTATAGTGCGTCTTCTGTATGGTGATATTAATTTACAATTTTATCCTAATTATCTTTGGCGCCCACCAAACATAATTTTTGCAAATTAAATACCAAAAATTGTTTTTTCCAAAACAGTTCATTGAGAAAAAAATTGGACACCGAGTCGTTTCTAAACAGTTTGCGGCGAACAAGGAAAATCCCGCTGACAGGCAAGATGAAAATTTCTGTTTTGCGAAGACTGTCTGAGGAAACAATTCTTCGATAATTTCCTAGTCTATCAGGCACTCGTGTTTGAAATGAATGAAAAAAATCTTAGACTATCCTCTACTCAGAACTTTTCTTACTACCTATCATTTATTGCGGAAATGCCGCTTTAAACCACATTTTACTCATTGAAATTCGCACGTTTTCCCACACTGTGTATCACACCGATGTCACTGCGATGCAGTTAATAGCAAAAAATATTTTATTTGATGTTTTCCATCATTTGTTTGGTTTCTGTTAGTTTCGGTGGTTTTTGGATGATTCCAAATCTATATTTTGTTTGTAGTTGATTTTTTATTACACACATTTTGAATATGTTTGTGTTAGTGTCGTTTGACTTCGACAAGTTTTAAAGTATCGATTGTTGGCCGAAACGAAAATTACCTCTTTTTGTCCTGATGAAAAATAGTAAATTGGAATAAGTAATAGAAAACTGCATTTCCACAAGAAACACCGCTAAGAAAAGTTGGTAATGATTATCCATAAGGTAGGCATAGTGTTAACTTCGAATGTGAGGGACTGGTAACTAGAAAATTACATAGTATTTCATTTTATCTATACAGGGATAATCAGATCAGAAATACGTACCGTACATTTAAAGGTAAATAGACACTTCAGTTTCGAAATGCAGGGAGTCAAATTTATCTTTAACAAAATCCAAAATTATAAATCTCTACAAAACGCTTTGATAAATTTTAATGAAACGTTGTGAGTGGTTAAGGATGACGGAGCTGCTTGTTTTATATAATTTTTTACATTTTTACCGGTGCCGTACATACCCCTATATTCTTGGAAATGTTTGAAAAAATCGTACACCAGTTTTTTTTAATAATAAAAATACATTTTAAGTGACATTCTGAAGAAAAAAAACTCATATGTCTGTCTTACGACCAACCATTTTCCGGTAAAAACACATTTTGATGATGTAATTTTACATTCTGAACCAATAAGAGAAATAATATGAATCAATGGAAAGGCAAAGAACTAAACAGTTCAGTTAAAGAATCACCTACATTTATAACCGACTTAATATGTATTTATAATAGTTGCTGAAAACTTCTGAGCCCTATTTAGCGCAAGGGCGGATCCAGGGGGGGTCATGGGGGTCATCACGCAAATCTAAAACTGCCAACATTTCCTTATCGATGGTTCACTTTCTAAAAAGGCCATTTATTTATGTCCAGAATGATGTACAAATGAGTGTTCTTGCTCATTTTGCCTCCGAGAAATGAGCAGAAATGGGAAGGAAAACATGTAATTTTGCATAATCTTGCACCTAAGTGTCTGATAGTCAAATTTGGCTTTCTGGGTCAAAACTACTCGAACTTGAATTCTGTGGCTCAAATGGTTCTTGAGAAACTTCGAATAAAGGCCATTTAGTTGTCTCTGGAATGATGTAAAAACGAGAGTTCTTGCTCATTTGGCTTCCGAGAAACAGGCAAAACGGGACGGAAAACATGAAATTTTGCAATAATCTTGCGCCACCCTTGCACAAAACGACGATCATTTTTTCTAATTTTATAGACAACAGAAGACTATTTTTTCTACATAACCCCCCCTTGACTTTAAAGCTGGATCCGCCCCTGATTTGTAGTATTTAGATATAAGTATTTTGCGGCTT